CTCTCTCTCCTTCGCTCAACAGAACAGCTACTTCCAGCCTTTTTCATTTGTCTCAAATCACCTGCCACTATGCCGGAAGACTATCTCTCCTCCTGTTTTGTAGAAAAAACAAAAGCCTTTGCTTCCTGAGACTCCTTGCCCACATCTCCACCTGTCACAATGAAGGAGTTATCTCACCTCCCGTTTGAGGAGGCCAATCCATGTCTCTCGGCCTCAGTTTCCCATCCACACCTAGCCCCTTGCGGGGCTTGGTGAACACCTGAGTCGGTGCGCAGGATGCCTCAGCCCTTCCAGCCCCGTTCCCGGCCCCCTCTTCCTCCCTGACCATAGCAAAGAGAGGCAGTGTTGGTTTGATTTGGAACCCTCTCCAACAAATGCAGCATTTGCTCTGTTATGGAAACATCTTGTGATAGACAAACACACTGAGTAAAGGCACGCAAGACCAGACCTACAAATGGGCTAGGCTTTCCTTGACTGCATAGAACACCAGGCCATGGCTAAACTGCGCTTTCTGGCAGGCACAATGCAGCAATCCTGGGTAAAAAATTCATTTTACTTTGTTTCAATCATATTCTTTTGTCTGATGGTTTCAGAATGTTCCACAGAACATTCTGGTTTCTCTAAAGTGTTGAGTCAGGAGGGGGTCACGCAGAAAAGGTCGTAATGAAGAGAATTAAGAAGACCTAGTCGGCTGATATACATTATATATAACTTCCCTTCTTTAAGCCACTCAACCATTCAGGAAAGAAAGAGAAGTCCTAGAAGCTTTGTGGCTTGAAGTCTTGAGCAGCACAACCAAAACACCAGAGAAGCATTTACTCTGTCGAACAGGAGAGCACCTCAAGACAGAATTGACTCTAGGTGGGACGTGGGTTGTCAGAAGTTCCAACAGAGGTGCCTCTGCCTCCTGTAGCCTGACCGTGAGGCCCTGACTGCCCACAGCACCCTCTTCACTGTGCTCTGGGTCTGCTCTCTAAGGGCAGGTGTGGTGCCACCAGGAAGGAGGCCACCTGCCTCAGGATCTGCCGATTTCAGGAGTAAAGAGTGTATGACCCTGAAGAGACCTACACTAGGAGGTGCTGAGACACGAACAGCAGAGGTCCCTGAATCCACCTCTCCCTCCTGGGGATGCTGACCAGATTTCCCAGGTGAACTTAGCTACACACTGTGGGTGCCGCGCTGGCGTGGAGTGGCTGTGGCACGGCGGCCATGCTAGCGATGGCGGTGCCGATGCGAGCGGAGCCGTGCTGGGGATCGCGCTGGCGGCTTCGGCGGTGATGGAGCAATGGCGGAAGCTGTGGCAATGGCACAATTGATGGGGACAATGGCGATGACAATGACACTCACAGTGATGGGACGATGGTGGTGGTGGTGGTGACGTTGGCAGTGATGGGGACAATGATAATGGTCATTATGCAACAATGGCAGTGCTTGTCCCGACAGGGGCGGGGCCGTGGTGAGAGCGTAACGATGGCCCAGCAGTGCGATCACCCGGACATTAGGAAGCCAGGAATTAGCAACTTTGGGGACAGGAACAAGACCCACCTTCTTGGAGATGGTGCAGATTTGCTCAGCTGGCAGGTAGTCGAAGGGGAAAATGAACCTCCAGTTAAAGTTGCCTTCGCCTCCCAGGGACCGATAGTGCACGTCTGTCTTCTGCTTGTGTTCTTCAAAGCCAACCATCCAACTAGACATACGCGTTTTTAGAGAACATTTATAATTAAGGTTTCCACCACAAAATGCATCCTCGACTTAGGCAAATGAGGAATTAAGAAGGGAAATGAACTCAGTAAATGTAGAGCAAAAATAATTCCCAAGAAATCTCCATGATGAGCCAAATGTGACACAAATTTTTAAACATTCTAAATTTTCTCTTGAGGGACATCCTCAAACCTCGTAAATTCAACTCGAAGATCAATGTGGAAGAAGAAATCTCGTGGGGAACAACTCCCCAGAGGCAGAGACCATGCCCATAAGACCCTCCTTCCTTCCTTATCTTCCTCCTTCCCTTTACCAAAGCCCCCCCTTCCCAATGGGGTACCACCCCACAGGGAAAAGAGCTGACTCAGTGGAGCTGGGATAGGTGGGAAGGAGGGTAACTCCCTACCCTTTCACATAAATGTCGCTCATCTTTTCCCCTGTGATGCTGAGGTCATCCAGGATCACATCCTTGGTGTTCCAGATAACACAACGCAGGAAAAACCTGTGGAGAAGAAGAATGGCTTAAATCACATGGATTTCAAAGTATGGGCGGTCCTTGACTGAGAAGCCAAGAGGCCGGCCCACCCAATGCTTGCCTGACTGATCACTTGTCCAGGCCCACACAAGAGCAGTACCCTGTGGCTCTAGTAGCCCAAAGCCTGGCCCAAGAACAGCTTCTCTGTCCCACCCAAGCTGACTGGATCCATCCCACCACCCCATTCAGCCCAGAGCCCGTAGCTGAGGTAAGTCACCTTCTGGCTCTCCGTGGGGTGATGTTGAAGGGAGGTCCAGGTCGGCCCAGGGCCTTTGGAAACAGGTCAATCCACATCTGCAGCTTCCCCTGGGAAGACATGATCCCGTTCTCTCACTACCCTTTTCATTCAGCCAACATCTACTGACCACCTGCTCTGTGCTAGATACTTGGTGCAAATAGCAGAGAAAATTCAGGCCCTGCCATAGAGAGGCTCACCATCCTGTAGGGGAGGTGCCGTAAATGGAACCACAGGGCCAGCTACAAAGGTGAGCCCACTGGCCTCCAGGCTGATGACTTGGGCCTGTGCCTGGGGGTCAAGGGTCAGAGCAGGCTTCTTGGAGATGGTGGTATTTGAGCTGAGTCTTGGTGTGCCAGATGGAAAAGGGGAGAAGGGCATTTCAAGCCAAGGGAATGGCGTACACAAAGTCCCAGAGGGTCAGAGAGCATGCTTCTTCATAGAAGGGCACAGAGGACTTCCACGACAGGAAACCAGCCACCCCTCAGTCCCCTAACTCTCTGCAAGCCAGGTGCTATTTCTGTCCTCATCTTACAGAAGAAGGAGCAGGCATTGAAGTAAATTCTGCAGGGTCACAGAACTAGAGAATGTAAGAACTGATATTTCAACACCTGCTGTGCCCCTCTGGGAAGCCAGTGGCCACACCACCAAGAGCTCAGTTCCAAACAGCTGAGATGGTGTCCTCCACATGCCCTTAAAGGTACCTTCAAGGCTGCCTCAGACCTTCTCTGCCTGTAATCTGTTCCCTCTTTCTCCTCCTCCAATACCTAGCCCCAAACTCACCCGCCCTGGGGCTGCCAACCCTCCACTCACCCTCCCTTTGCGTGGGAGGACGCCCTTCGCCTTCCTGTTAATTGCTCTGTCGCCCTGTCTAAACTCCCCACTGCAGCCCAGCATGGAGCCAGCCATCTGAGCCGTCCCTGACTGATGATAGGAAAGGACACCCTGAGGCCAGCCTGAAACAGCGAGGCTTCGGAATGACTCACAGGAAGCCAGAGGTCTGGCCTATGTGGGGAAGGCGTGGGTCGCTCAGGCTCATTCCCCGGGCCCTGAGGGCTGCAAGTAGCCAGTTGAGGCCAGGCCCAAAAGGCCCCCTGGAAGGCCAACAGTAGTGACCACTCAGACTGTAGAGAAATACCATCAAGGAGGGATTGGCTGAATCCTGTGATCCCTGCAGGTGCCTCTGGGATGTCCATGCCCTCCTTGAGTAAGACTAGCTTGGGGTGCGGGGTTCTGGGGCCTGAGGTTCGATGCCCTACCTGCTCAATGTCCGGCTGCAGGGGGCTATAAAGGGGCCGCGACTCCACATGCTCAGGGACCAGGCCCTGCTGCTGGAGGATGTGCAAAGCCAGACGCTCCTCCACTGGGCCCAGGTGTGGGTTCGGGACTCTGCCAGCCTCTGCTTCAGAGAGAAGACAAAAAAGCTGCTGGAGCTGAGAGAGCAAGAGATGGTAGGGCATCTAAGTGATCTTAGTACTATTCTCAGGTTTGTGCAAGCTGTTCTATTAGTAGCAATAGCTAAAATAATAGCGATAGCAGCAAACACTTATAAAGCAAGAACCAGGCACTGTTCTTCATAAATATTAACAGGTTCAATCCTCATAAAAACCCTAGAAGGTAAGTGCTATTATTCCAATTTACAGATGACAGAAATGAAGCACAGAATGGCCACCCAGCTGGTCAGCAGGGCAGTCAAAACCACACACTCGTTTAGGAAAGGCGCATGGCTGGACGTGAACACTCCCTTCCTCTATCGTGCTTCCCAGGTACAGCTCCTACCTGCCAGGGGGTAAACCAAGGGCTGGCGCTGGATGGAGTGAGGGCCTAGGAGTGGTTCTGACCCTGACCAACCATCCAGCGACATGAACTTGGAGCTCTTGTGGTAGAGACTTTGACAGGGTAGGAGGGCCTACATGTCTACACACACATACGTATACACAAGTATACACACTCAGGTGTGCCCAGGTTCACGGTCTCATGTGCGTGCATGCACACACACACACACACACACACGTTCTGCCCACTTTAATAGGTGCCACTAGGGAAGCGGAAAGGCATCGCAGAAGGACCACTGCCAGGAATCTGGCTCTGTTCCTAACTTGCTGGGTGACTTTGGGCAGGTCTTTAACCACTTGTGGCTTCAACAGCCTCATCTGCAAAAGAAGGCTGACGTCACACCTCACCAACTACAGCTTTCCTACAAATTTATGACCATGAGCCCTGGTCCCTGTGCTAAAGCTGCTCACAGACTAGCAGAAGGAAATGAGACCACCCCTAAAATCGACGCATTTTCTACAGGAAGACAATGCGGGGTGGAGTCAAGGCCTAATGAGGAGGAGCTGGGTCAGCCGTGACCTGGAAGGGTCAGAAAAACAGAAAGAGAAGGAGAGGGTTTGGGATAGGGCAGCAGTTCCCAACCTTTTTGGCACCAGAGACAGGTGCTCCTATGAGAATCTAATGCCTGATGATCTGAGGTGGAGCTGAGGCGGTGATGCTAGCGCTAGGGAGCGGCTGCAAATACAGATAAAGCTTTGCTTGCTCTCTCGCCGCTCACATCCGGCTGTACGGCCCAGTTCCTAACAGGCCACAAACCAGTACTGGTCCATGGCCCGGGAGTTGGGGACCCCTGGGATAGGGGAGTCAAAGCCATCATTTCCCTTTTATAACCTCGGCACCAGCTCTGACATCAAACGTCTCTGAAACCAGCAGAAGGTGAGGGGCCAGCTGGGCCTATAAACACTCTGCTTCTTGAGCTGCTCCAGGTGGGCAGTGTAGGCCTGTGGGCACTCAGACACATGGAGAGCATGTGGTGGGATTCTCAGGCATGAGTGTTAGGCAGACCCATGGGCAAAGTGGGGGCTGCAGGGCTTCCTGCCTGCACTTTGGATGCTTCAGGTGCAGGAGCTCTGAGCAGGAGCTCAGAAGGTATCATCAAGGACAAGCTGCAACTCAAATAGAAAACTGTTTCTCAGAGGTGCGCTGCACCCCAAACTCTAATCGAAGGCTGACCACCCAAAGCCAGAAGCAGACTGATCCTAACTGTCACTCTGACCATGACTTCAGACTCATCCTTCATCTCGACTCATGGGAACCCCAACCTTGGACTGAGCTCTGACTTGGCCCCACCTTAACCTCTTCTTTTTACAGTGGTATCACAGATAAGCACTGGTCCCCAGAGGACCAAGCACAAGGTTAGCCTGGTGTTGCCCTGGAGGATCCCAGACCACACTTGCTGCGGTGGGTTGTATCCACTTGGCCCCTTTATGACAGGAGAGAGACAGCAAGAAAGAAGGTGGTAGAGGGAGGGCCCACAGTGTTTTCAGGGTCTTGCGGCAGCTCACCTGTTTCTTCGATGGTGTATTCTTTATCTTGAAACACCACACGGTCTGTCCGGTACACAGGGGCCTTGACTCTGTGCTGCTGACAGAAGAGGTGGAGGAGCTGGGAGGGGCGGAGCTGGTCCCGCCACTGGTTCGGTCCAGAACTGTGGCCCAAACACAAGACAAAGATGAGACGCCCCAGGACGCTGACGAGGGCAGAGGAACATGCAATGACCTGTGTACCCATAGGCAAAGCATCACCCACCCTTGACTTTTGCGGAGGGTGCCCATGTGGTTGTTCATCAGGGGATCCCCATTTTACAGATGGAGAAACCGAGGCCCAGAGATAAATGGATTTGTTTAAATTCATACACTCAGAATTGGAATTTAGATTTTTCCAATTTCCAGATTTAGAGAATCAGATCCAAATAAGATCCAAGTTGATAAGGAAGTGGATGGAGCTATCTACACAGGAGCTCACCTGACATAAATGCCCTTAGGGTCCAGCTGGGGCCCATGTCTCCCATTGCCTGTCTC